CCTGTTAGACTGCAAAAAGAAGAAGAGGTGGGAATTGTATCGACAATTGTCATTCATTCGATTGTCCAGAAGCACGCGATATATTCCGGAAAGATTTACAAATCTTCTCCAAGGCGTGGATTCTGGTTGACGAGCATGGTCCTGTGGGCACCGATGCTGCTGGATCGTTGATGAATATTTATTGTCCTTCGAGGCATATTTAACGAGAGCTATAACAGCCTCTGCTCGCCCTATCTCCCATCGTAAATTATTTAATACCATTTCATGATTCTTTTGATGTTGGAGGATTACCCTCAATGAACATTCAGAGCTGAATCATCTCTCGGGATTTTATTTTTCAAATATTATACATACACTCTGAATAGGAATAGCAATTCTCTCTCAATATTGAGGATTTATCAAACATTGGAGTAACTACACGGCAGAATCTGGAATAGTAAAGAGAGCATGAAGCATGAAAATCGTGAGATGTGTATATAGTTGGAGGGGGGCAAATAGAAGCGATGTGAAAAATCTCGAGAAGACATGGGGACCGAGAGCATTTCAATATTTCTGAACTTCACGGGAATGCCAAAAGCCTCGCGCCTTCTGACTTTTCTCATACTTTAATATTTTTTTTACCACCTTTTTCTCTCAAGTTTCTTTAGCCTTCGAGGTGCATGCGGTTGACAATTGGAGCATGCAGAGATTTTATCGTGATTCACGCTGAATGCTCCAATTTATCCACTTCAACATTCATTTCGACCACTGAAATAGGAAATACTATCAGCAGTTGATAATCCCAATGCTCCCGAGATTTATTTATGTACTGTACATTGCGTGAATGACGATCGTTCAATTTTAGATGACGTGAAATTGATGCTTAATCTCTTCATTGATGAAGATTGAAGTATTCGAGAGCTGGATGTGAGCATTTTCGATCAAAGTGTATGATGGCCATTTTGTTTGGATTAGTTAGATCGGATTTGAGAAATTATGGGATATTTTTTTAAAATGGGACAAACCGCTGATTGAGGGTTCATCGATTATGGTGACTGTGCTATTGATTCTGTGAGCCACACGTCGCTCTCAGGAATATCCAGGGACAATGTGATGCCATCCTTTAACGGATGTGCTGCTTTAAGGAATTTGCATTGCACTGGCTTCCCGGAAAATAATGCCCCGATCATTTGTTGCATGATTACGTACGAGCAGTTGGAAATATCTGCTGAGTCTATTCTCACGGGTTCTTGAAGAATCCATCCCCTTTAAAGAATTTAGTAGATCGCCACGATAATCTCCTCGACCACCAATCTTGGGGGAATCCCTCCCTCCCGTGAAAAGAATCCATTCAGCTTCACATATTTCCGGTGATAAGCCATTGGATAGTTTTACAGATTATTCACCCTCTGGTGATCATTCCCCGAATATCACATTTCTCGGAGGTATAATAAATAAGAAACTAGCGACTGCTCCTCCCTAAACTTACGATAGCCCACAAATTCTATTTGTGAGTCAATCACTGCTCACAATCTCTGATCCACTGATCAATAACCGTCGAAGGACTAGTACTCTCGCTATTTGCTGGCTTACGAGTCAATTACCGCTCAGAACAACTCATAACTTGAGCTGACAACTTCACGGAAACTAGTACGATTGCTTAGAAAGATAAGCGGCTAAGCAAATGGATAGTTTCGCAGATTATCCACCCTCGGATGATCATCCCCAAATATCCACCTCCTCAAAATATTATCATAAATAAAGAACTGAGGGCTCTCCAACGGCGAAACTACTCTCAACTTAGATGCCAAGTCATGCAAAACTATTTCTCGAGCAGCCAGAGACAGAGAGAGGGTAAAATCTCGGATGCAGCGTTGGCTAAAGAGTAACAGAAACTAAGGAGACACTGAGGTACGTACTTGGCATGGTTTACCACTGTTGCCCTCCCTTCTCACCCTTCTGAGCATCACCGAAGGAGACAAAGGGAGATTTGGAGTTAGTGCCGACACGAGTACGTCGTTTGGTATGTATGGTATATATATCTGTATCATCTGCAGCAACAGTCCGTGAAGCGTACCAACATCTCCACCCACCCATCCCACCTCCAGAGGGTGAAATGCGAGGGGTAGAACATTCTTACTCAGGCTCCTCTCGATATACGCTGGATTACGTCAAACCCCGGGCGTAACATCCGGCGTCGGGAAGTTTCCGCCCGAGACTTTGGAGATCCTAGTTTCTCCCTTGCACTGGGGTGTGTACGGAGTAATTGCACTTCAACGACGGGAACGTGGTCTTTCGAGTCAGACCCGTAGTGCATGGAGGAAGGGCAACGGTAGGGTGAGAATTCTGGTATAACCCAGACATTTTCAGAAGTTCACTGTGTGGGGGGGTATGAGCTCAGGAATTTCTTCGGGTTCTAACACGTGACGCGGAAAAAGAGTTGATGGAGAAAGGCGCAGACGAGACACCAATGAGCGATCCTGACGGTAGGTTAAACGAGCGTGAGTAATTCGGGGCCCTTTCTACGATGGATTAAATCCCCCGACTACCACCCGGGTGAAATGCACTTGGAGATGATGGAGATGGGGATGGAAAGGCAAATGCATCGTCAAAGGATAGAGCCCAGAAGAGAATCAAACCCGTATGAGGGTCCAATAACCGATCGAAAATCCTCTCGTCGTCTATCTTTCCTAGGGGGATGCTAGGGCACAGAAGGTCGAGCAATTTATGGAGGGTATATACATTGCCTCGCCGGAGCACCAGCGAAATCCTTTGGCCAGCCAAGCTCATATAATCGTTCTTCAGAGGCTTCCCTTTTTTTTCCTCCACTTCCTGTCGTCCCTCTCTCCCCAGGCGTCTTCTCGCTCTTGGGAATATTTTCCTTCTCCTCGGGGCCTGGCCTTTATCCCGTTGGGGATCCGCTCAGCCACGCGGAAATCATAGCACGTCCCATCGGCACGCGAAATCATCCAGAATTCAGGATCGCTGGGGCTCGACTGCTGTTGCGAATTGAAAGGACTCTCCTTTTTTTTTATTTTCTCTTCTCCAGGATTTCATCGGGAGCTCTTGATCTCCTGATGGAGCTACATCTGTCTTGATTTACCTTTGGCACTCGTCATTGTCAACTTTTTCACTGGAGTTTATCAGTCACTCCATTGTGATAAACTTTGCATGCTTCATCAAATTGGATATCTACTCAACGACATCACCATGAAGTCCCAAATGCACCAGCAAGAGCAGTCCCTCCAATCGATGTGGACATGGTTTTATACTCCTCGTAAGAACTTTTAAAACTTCCGCCAGGTGCTTCCGATAATTGGATTAACTATGTTCCATTTCTCCTTTGTTCACCCCTTTTACACGATTCAGACACACGAATCGAGGAAGCCAATGATCACGACATCATCCTGAGCAATCGTCTCGGATACATTGAGTTTAGGATAAATTTTTCACTTGACTCAGGTACAGCAAGTGCGTAAGTACTTCAATCTGTTCGCTCGACTACATTTCCCGTATCAAGAAAATTCATTCAAATCGATTCGTCTCTGGGGCTGTAAGGAGAATTGTGATACTGAATACTCAACGAATGGCCTAGAGGTGGGTCTCAGAGAAGTTGAAAACGACGAGAAGAATAGAGCCACCATGGAGTGTTTCGTATAGGTGTATATCGGTACGAGGATCTGGGGTAACGGTAAAGAACGGGTTTGATACCAGGGAAGCGAGATTTCTGAATGGGTAAAAGATATAGTTTGATGTCGAATAAGAGAGAAGCTGAGTGGGAATGGTATTGGATGTCACCGCGGTAGAGATTACGCGCGGTGGCTTTTCAAAGAGGGTTCTGATACTCTACTCGACATTGACAATTTCATTCTTCTTCTTTGCCTCTTTTTTTCCAACGAGGGAACCCTTTCACAAAATATTCCTATTGCTATTGAAATTTTATGAATAAAAATAAGAATTTTTACATCCTTGCGTTTGTCCCCGTGAATTCTACATTTTTCCAAATTTATACTCCAGTTTACGATCAATCGATCGCCATGATCAATTCCACAATTTCCTCTATTCATTTGACTTTTCAATTTTCAGGGGAATATTTTTATTCAATTTTCAAGTGAGCAATTCGCAAATGGAAGTTTTACGGGCGAAAGGACGAGAACGGTAAGTTCTGAATCAATATTTGCGGGCGTTGGGAGATCGATTGATTTATGGGAAATCAATCTTGTAAATATTCGACGATCTTGTGTAGTGATAATGGCGGGGTGAAGAGGGACTTGGGAAATTGCAGAGTAATTACCGTAACAGTTATTATCGTATCGTTTTGAAATGCAGACAAAATGATCTCGAAAAGAGTTAAGTTAAATTCGACTATCGAAAGGTATCGATGATGGTGCTATCAATGTATTCGAGGACACGATTTCACCGTCAAAAATATATATCTATATGGATTATGTGAAAAACGGTTGATAGGAAACGATGGGGATGAAAGATTCGATATATTACGCGGTGGGAAAATCCGATATTTCATTCATTCAGGGCTTTCCGTGGACCCCTATAATGGCCGACGTTTTTTCATAGTTTTTTTTTTTTTTATTCACTCATACCTCTCGGTTTTATCATTGAAATAATTTCCTCCCTTCATTTTTCATCCGCAAATCATTTTTTTCCATTCTCCGTGGTAGAGGAAAAATAAAAATGCCCGACAATGAGGAAAAATTTTCTGTCTCATTTTCAACTGCAGTTGGCGTTTTTCAAGAGAGACCGAATGGGCTCGATACTACCTTTACCGTACATCGTAAACCCAGAAAATGAAACTGATAGTATTTATCTTTCCCTTATCCTCGACACGCATTATGGTAATTACCAATTACAAGCCCGCAGTATGAACCAATCCATTATCTCAGCCCTGCTCGTTAAATGCAGAACGTATTGGGCATAGTTACACTTCATCAAAGAGAGAAACCATTAATAAACGTTAATGTAATCAGTTCAATTGTAAATAAACGGGAGAATGGGGTACTCACCTCTGTGCCTGCTAGTCTGCTTGTCGAACATCAGCATGGCGTCCTCTATCTGCAACAAATAAAAAAATATTCAGCTATTTATTTTTGTTATCGGCACTGAATGAAAAGAATCAAAGGATTTTCCAGATTTTTTTTTACTGTTACAAATTTTTTTCAACATTTCCATCATTTTTTTTCCCGTGATAAATGGCGATATCCACGATAAAACGGAGATATCATTAATCCATATATTTTCCATCAGTTTATTTTCCCAGATGATGGTTCGGTGACGCGTCCGATAGAGGGCGCGCCCTAGACATAACCCCGAAGTGAAGAGAGAAATTCGCTCTTGCAACCGAGTGAGGAGGAAAATAGGAGGAAAATGGGGTGGGACGGGAGGGATAGGGGATTGAGGATGATGGGTTAGGGGTGGAATGGTATACACTGCGTGTGTGGCCCGTAAAGCACAGCTGGCACGAGATTTACGGAGCGTGCTGCCGAGGAAAGTCGATGGTTAGGGTATGTATGGAGGAGGCGAAAAGGTTCTAGGCGTAAAGAGAAAGAGGCCATGAGGGATTGAAGGGGAATGGACAGTGAGGGGCCAGGAAATAGAGGGAAAATGGGTGGAGGTTGGACGGATGGGATTTATGAGACAGAAGAAACAATAGGGATTACCTTTGCTCTGGTATTCCGTGCCATTTCCCTCATTCGACCGACTTTCATCGGTTGAGTTTGGATTCATTCTTGACGCAAGGGTCAGATGGAAATTCCATTTTCTGGTTGCGCTCGAGGGGTTACCGGTGGCAACTGCCACAGCGCGGCAAATTCAAATACAGAAGCAAGACAATCAATCAGGTGAGGAGTTTGGAATTGAATGGAGTAGATTTAATTTACAATGGTCTCTCATTTATTCAATGAATCAACTCTTTGTCTCAGTCACTACCTCCAATTCTGTTTTATTCATCCCTGGTTGGTGCGGGACAATAGGAGTCGCTGTGTCAAAAGAGTTTATTCAGTCAAGCGATAAATTACTGTCTTTTTCAATTAGGAGGTACGTGGAGAAATAGCACGTACTTTTTATTTTTTAACTCGCGGTTGACAAAAATAAAAATAGCGGAAGATATTTTTTAATGAAAAAAGCTGTGGGAGAGTGACGAATGGTGAGAAAATATATACCGGGCCCTAAAATAAAATACTCTCTCGTACTTTGTACACGTGTAAATGTTGCTCAAGGTTTTTTTAAGGGGATGCCCTTTCGTTATTCTTGGTATTATCCCTTTGGTAACGCGGTCCGTCTGTCATCCTGAGAGAATTATTATCACAAATTTCTCACAATTTTGCGTCTGATCTTTCTCTTCTTTTTGCACCTCTTTTTTTCCTCACTCTGTCGGTTGATGATAGTACATTTACGGAAAACAAGTGTTCTGGGAATAAAACAAATGTAATTTTTCCTTTCCACTCGCTTCCAACTTTTCACCCAACATTTTCTCTTGAATTATATATAATTGAAAAGAGCACTGTGCTCGATAAAGTTGACAATTCCCCTGAAATCCTTGTTAAGTACTCAAGTATTCTTGATACTTCTCACTTCTAGGAGAAACTCTCGATGCCGCGGATTTGAGAAACTACAAGGGTATTACGTATCTCTATACCTATTCTCTTGGTTTCCAGCTTTTCTCAACTCTCAAGGGTAATCCCTCAAGGGAGCAATCGAGATTCTGAGGCGAATGGTCGACGGTGTACCTTATTACAAGTTCGATTCCCCCTTCTGCTTCTTACCACCGACCCCTGTTTACTCATCTCTGCCAATAGAACGTCACTTCCCCCAGGGGCCAAAGATTGTTCTGTCTTGCCATGCTCATCATCTACTCACATCCACCCCCTGGAATTCTAGTCGAGGTCGAAGTATTCTACCGTAATCCAAGTAATTTACGGAGGGTACCAGTAAATTTGGGTCAGTCAAACAATAAGTTGGCAGTCTGACGGGAGTTATTGGTATCGGTTCGTTGATTCCGTTTGATGATGACTACCGCATATTGATGCATTTCAATCTGATATCCACAAAGAATCAAAATTCGAAAATACCCGGGATAATTATCTCCATAAAATTTAATCATTCGATATTTTCATTTCTCTCATTCTCCACTCCCTCAAATGATTGTTTTTACGGTCGCATTAAAATTCACCGATGGAAAATAAAATCATGAAAAATGAGGGTTGAAATAATGAAAATCCCGGTATCCAGCAGAGACGTTATTCTGAATGATTCATTCGCGGTTAAAGAGTGAGAGGGAAACTCCAGGAGTAAAATTGGTTGTGTATAAAAACAATAAACCAACGGAGCGATAGTGCGTAAACAAAGGGTGTCCCAACAACAAAGCCCATAAAAAAAAAAAATTCCAACGAGAGGGAGAAATTAAAAACAACAATTTATATCGTCGATATGACATTTTTTTTTTTTTCTTCTCTATCCGCTCACAATTACCGAAGGTAATAACGTTGAATCGATATTGCCAGGATGTAAAAACAATACGTGCACCCACCGTCAATGATTAATGGGTTCAGTTACTGAATTCAGGGATAAAAAAAAAAATGGGGGACTTGATGATTACGGCAGTCGATTGTTTTCATTATTCACGTTCTTTTGTCGTTGATTACAGAATGTGAAAAAATGAGTGCAACATTTGCAATTGAAAATCCCCTGTCATGAATTCACATTAAAGACAACCATTAGTCCGACCCATTTTGTCTCACCGACATACCGCTTCCAGCACCTCTAAATGATCAAGTTTGGTTAGCCTCCCACACAATCCCTAATCCTCCACAATTTTAATCACTATTTATTACATTTTCCCCTGCCCT